ACAGGGAACATTCACTACAAAATTTTTGAGATTTATATGGCTCTGAATCCTGGAGGATTCTGGAACTAAGCCTCAGGCTCTAAGACAGCACACTATTGCCAGGCTTATAGAAGGAAAATGCCTTTTATATAAATGTCTAGAGGCCAGGGGAAGATACAAATCTCTCTAGAGCACCAGGCAAATATGGGAGAGGGGATAACAACAAAATGTGATGAAAAAGAGAAAACCTCAGAAGTATTCCACAGTTTTTTAAAGCTGCAATATCAGGATTACTGAAGGCCATTGGAATTAATTTTGAGTATTACATTAAAAGTGCTAGGGACAAAAGAAGCAGTTGCAATAATAATTTTGAGTCTTATATATTCAGAAAAGAATGGAGAGTGGTATAGGTCCTATATATAGAACTGTATAGAGTAGAAGAGAATATATTCTATGTATGGAATAGGATAACGAAGGATGTCTCTGGCAGGCTAGAAACAAACAGAGTGTTCATGAGGTTTATGTTTAACTATGGTTTTTGTTTTGAGAAAAAAACGGCTGGCGGACATACCTTCTTCTTTGTAAAAGTGATTCTGACTAACAGGATCGCAATTGTGAAATGCCGTGCTCCACACATTAAGAACAACTCTTCAGAATGAAACAGTACAGCTGTACATTTGCTGGAAATCCTTCTGCAAAGATGGCCCAAGTTATATAAATGGATTTAAAAAAATCATTTATGAATCAACTGATCCTAGGTTCCGGTCTGACCTCCAACACCCAGACCCTCTCAGTCATGGAATGACAGCTCAGCATTCAGCCAGCAATATACTGGTCTGGGAGAAATTCCACATTTGTGTCAGGAGCTCAGAACACCGACTTGTGGAAAAGCTAAAGCAGACCTTGGAGCCACGTGAACATTTAGCTTTGATTTTACTGGCTCATCAAAGAAAGTATCAAAGCTGGACAGTCCCTTCTCTCTTCCCTGCCCAAACTTGACAGACAAATCCGGGCAAGGGGAGGGGCATTGGTCTCTCTTAACTCTTACCTCACAGTGAGCCAGAGCACACTGGGAGAGCTGGAGGGCCATGCTGGCTGTTGTGCTTGCTGTTTTACCTGGTGAGAGACAACAGATCTGTCTGCAGCAGGGCTCTCATCCAGGCCATGCAGGGCTACTGTGAGGTAGAGCACCCCTTTGGCCTTCATCTGTACTCCTACTCCTCACTCTCTCTTGTTATCTTTTATTAATGCAGGTGTTGGGGTTGCACTCTACATTGCTCAGTGGCCTGACAAAATCCTTCAGAGACCTGAAGACTCTTTGACCATCTCCTGCTACCAGAATTACAGTAACTTTGCCTATATGTACTGGTACCTGCAGCCTCCAAGAAATGGTTTGAAGTTAATAGTCAGCAGTACATTTTGGAAGTATAACTCTTATGAGGATGGTTACTCTGAGGCCAAGTTTGAAGTATACAGAGAGAGCAGTAATTACTCTCTGATGACAATCAAGAATGTGACACCCCAGGATGAAGCCACGTATTTCTGTGCTACGAGCGGTCACACGGTGTAGCAACGGCGTTGAACACTAAGATAAAATCCCCACCTTCTCTGAGTGAGAAATGGAGTCTTTGAAAATGTGAGACAGTTAGGAGAGGGGCAGAGGAAGAGCAGAAAGAAGATTACGAAGAGGTTGTGGCAATGGACGCAGGGTATTTTGAATGGGAGAGAGATAGAGCAGTGCAGCAGACTCTGTTTTTGAAGGCAAAGACCTTCAGAAATACAAACCCATAGATCAGCGCAGAGAACTGAGGCACGGCTGGTATGGTTAGATAAGGCAGCAGGTATTTCTGATGATTAGTATTCCAGATGCACAGCCATGTTCCAGGGCACTAATTCCCCACAGATTCTCCTACAGCACCAGTAAAAAACTACAGAGCAGCCAGAGAATTCAAAGTTCTTCCCCATAGTCATGATCTACACAGAACTGAGATGCCCTATGTGAAACTGATTGGTGTGTGAGGAGAGCTCAACCCCTGATTAAAGACATGGGAGGATGGGGCCAGTAACAGTGGAGGAAAACATACCCAGGGGACCAGGCGTACCTGCCATTGTGGAAGGAACAGTCTCTTGGCATCTTTACAAGCCACAGTGTGCACTGCAGCATTTTATTCACCTGCTCCACACACTGCTTAATTGCAGGATCCCTTTCTTCCCTGCCACAGGAATGCATACAGTTCTGAGCTGGACCCAGGCATCCCTTCAGGGCAAAACCTCATAGGCAGAGAAAAGAAACCACAAAGAGCTGCTGTTACTTGTGAGAAACAGTTGAAGGCAGAAATTTCCCCCCATTGTGCCTCTGTCTCCATTGCTTGCAGAGCTGAACTTTTGATGAACTATTTGCTCTTCTGTGATAGACCTGGGAAAGCTGAGGGTCGGGTATTATTAGGGTTCCCTCACCTGCCATTGCCTGTCCATGCTCCTGTTTTTATTGCATAACCTAGGACTCACCTTTTCTCCAAAGGAAGGCAAATAGCCCACAAAAGAGCAAAAGGTGTTTTTAAGAAAGTGTGGCTATACCCTGTGTATTTTGGGTTCTGTTTTTAGGCTGTGGCCCTGACAGTCTGCATACCTACCACTGAGCATGAACCCATTGATTGTCTCATGTGCTCATGTGGAGGGCATGGCATGTGAAGCACTTGGCTATCACAGATAGCAAATGTACTGTGCTGCTCCATGATGTGGCAAAGCTGGATATGGATATGCTGAAGTGACACACACTGTATAAGCACAGCAAGAAAAAGAGTGGGAGGTGATAAGAATAGCTGGTGAGAGCAAGGAGCAGGAATCAGCTGGGAGCATGTCCTGTAAAAGAATCTCATGCTCCGCTTCACCAGCATTGCTGGCAGACTCCTGCAGTACCAAGATGGATCATTCAGTTTCATGGCAGCATCCAAGTCTCCTGATCAACCACACTACATAAACACACCTGTGCTCTGAAAGAAACGAAACTGCTCTGGGCTAGGGAAATCCAGATGTGTGACACCCTTGGAGCCAATATTCTCCTGACTTCAAGGACTGCTCAGCAGCAAACGTAACACACCACTCCTTGCTCTCAAGGAGTGGTCCTCTGCTGCTCAGAACACCCTCAGGTCCATGATCTCCTCCTTGTTCATGTCAGGCTACACTCAAACAGCAGGGAAGCACTTGGAAAGTGTTGTCTCTCACATAGCAGAGACATACTGAGTTCCGTTTTTCTTCAGCCTCTGGTCTTTTTTGTAGAGATCATCTTTGTAAAACATGTTCACGCTGATGCTGTCTGGAATTATTGAATTATTACTGCTGATCCTAATTGCCTGAGAAACTTTCAGGAAAACTAGTTCATGGTGGAATCATGAAGAAATATAAACACTATGGTGGTGACTTTGGGGTGATTTTTTTTCTTTAGTTTTTTGTTTGTTTTTGTTATTTTTTTTAATTCTGCTTTAGGAAGTTACCCATTCCTGAAAATCATGTTACAGTCCCAGCTCAGACTTTTTCATAAGCACTGCAAACCACTTTTCCAGCTCTGGTAATACAACAGAGGAGGGATCCTTTTTACTTCTCATCTGAGCACTTTTAGTTTTGAGTGGCAAAAGCAATTTTTAGGCCTTGTGATAACAAACTTATCAGTCACCTTCAACATAGAGCAGTTTAATGAGATAGCTATTGAGTGCTCACAGCTGTGCAATTTACAAGTGGCAATAGCAAACCACAGAGATCTCTAAGTTCATTGCCATTGTGAATTCTGTGGTTGCAGTTCCCTCTTCCATCTCTAAGGGACATTTTTCTCCCATAAGGTACTTTTTGGCCAGGCTGAATTGTGTTGTCACAAAAAGCCACTATTCTAACAAGTTTCTCGTGGAACAGCTACTCTCCTTCTTGTCTCATTGCTTGTCCTCATATTTGTTCAGATCATTAACCAGATCCCTGCTTCAACTGTCTTATCTTTTCAGTGCACATCTAGGCCCTTAAAAAGAAAAATTGACAAAAAGAGAAAAAAGAGAGAAAGATAGAACCTCAGAACTATCCCAATTGTTTGCAAGATGCAATATCAGGATTACTGAAGGCCATTGGAATTAATTTTGTGTATTACATTAAAAGTGCTAGGGACAAAAGAAGCAGTTGCAATAATAATTTTGAATCTTATATATTCAGAAAAGAATGGAGAGTGGCATAGGTCCTATATATAGAACTGTATAGAGTAGAAGAGAATATATTCTATGTATGGAATAGGATAACGAAGGATGTCTCTGGCAGGCTAGAAACAAACAGAGTGTTCATGAGGTTTATGTTTAACTATGGTTTTTGTTTTGAGAAAAAAACGGCTGGCGGAGATACCTTCTTCTTTGTAAAAGTGAATTAGAGCTCCCAGGAAGATTAACCAGCAGGGAATATGCATGCCTGTCTGGAAAACTGAAGAAATTAAGATATGATGAAACACAATTTTTGTGCCTTTGCTATCTTGATCTATCGTCTTTGCTTCTGACTAACAGGATCGCAATTGTGAAATGCCGTGCTCCACACATTAAGAACAACTCTTCAGAATGAAACAGTACAGCTGTACATTTGCTGGAAATCCTTCTGCAAAGATGGCCCAAGTTATATAAATGGATTTAAAAAAATCATTTATGAATCAACTGATCCTAGGTTCCGGTCTGACCTCCAACACCCAGACCCTCTCAGTCATGGAATGACAGCTCAGCATTCAGCCAGCAATATACTGGTCTGGGAGAAATTCCACATTTGTGTCAGGAGCTCAGAACACCGACTTGTGGAAAAGCTAAAGCAGACCTTGGAGCCACGTGAACATTTAGCTTTGATTTTACTGGCTCATCAAAGAAAGTATCAAAACTAGACAATCCCTTCTCTCTTCCCTGCCCAAGCTTGACAGACAAATCTGATCAAGGGGAGGAGCATTGGTCTCTCCTATCTCTTACCTCACAGTGAGCCAGAGCACACTGTCCTGGGAGAGCTGGAGGGCCATGCTGGCTGTTGTGCTTGCTGTTTTACCTGGTGAGAGACAACAGATCTGTCTGCAGCAGGGCTCTCATCCAGGCCATGCAGGGCTACTGTGAGGTAGAGCACCCTTTGGCCTTCATCTGTACTCCTACTCCTCACTCTCTTGTTATCTCTTATTAATGCAGGTGTTGGGATTGGAGCCTACATTGCTCAGTGGCCTGAAAAAATCCTTCAGAGACCTGGAGATTCTTTGACCATCTCCTGCTACCAGAATTACAGTAACTTTGCCTATATGTACTGGTACCTGCAGCCTCCAAGAAATAGTTTGAAGTTAATAGTCAGCAGTAGTACATGGAGTGATAACTTTTATGAGGATGGTTACAGTGAGGCCAAGTTTGAGGTAACCAGACAGAAAACTGATTACTCTCTGATGACAATCAAGAATGTGACACCCCAGGATGAAGCCACGTATTTCTGTGCTGCGAGCGATCGCACAGTGTAGTGACGGGGTTGAACACTAAGATAAAATCCCCACCTTCTCTGAGTGAGAAATGGAGTCTTTGAAAATGTGAGACAGTTAGGAGAGGGGCAGAGGAAGAGCAGAAAGAAGACTACATAGAGGCTGGTGCAATGAACGCAGGATATTTTGAATGGGAGAGAGATAGAGCAGCGCATCTGTCTTCGAAGCCAAATTATTAATCAGATCCCTCCTTCCACCATCATATCTTTTCAGTGCACAGATATGCCCCGAGGAAGAGCTGTTGCTTAACTTTATGGGGTTGTGGTCAAAAGCACTGGATGTTTATGCAAAGTGTCCTAGTGTCTCTAAACAATCTGTAAAGCTCAGGGAGTTCTCTGTAGTATGTCCTGCTTCTTTGTATCTGCTTCGTCTGTAAACTCTAAAGAATGCCGGACAGGTATAACTGAGGCAATCTGTAGTTTCCTGTAAAATTCTCCCATAAAAAGAATATAATTGATAGAAAATATATCCCTAAATGTTTCTTCGTTACACATTCCTGTTTTTCCTTGTCTGAAGTCTTAGGCAGCACAGCCTCCAAGAGTCAAAAAGCCTCCAATGAAAGACTTGGAAATAAGAATCAAGGATCTCCTCCACTTTGTTCTGTCCCTTGTATTTATTTGAATTCATGGCCTGCAAGTCCTTTTCTTTCAACAGGTTACAAAGGATTGTTAAGGTGCAACAAGACTGGTCTCTGCTGGCATGTCTTGGAAACTGCCTTTTGAATATGGCCTGAGGAGCTACTAGCACCACATACACATTCAAAACTAATAGAGAGATGACTTCTGTCTTTTTAAATGAAAGACACTTCATGGAAGAGAGTCTGTAAGTGTCAGTAAGGACACTAATGGAGCTCTAGACTGGAGATGCAGACAGAATAATCTTAAATGAATTTTGGTCCAATGGGTTAAGACCCTGAATAAATAGTCTTGAGACCACTGGCATACTAATTCCAAGGCAGGAAAATAATATTCTCCTATTAGTTTTATTATTTAGTCAGTGACAGCCAAAAAAAATCCTAAATGTATTTTTTTCAAAAAATTCAATATAAACAAACAAAAGTTCTATATAAACAGACATAATTAGTGACTTAACTACTCTGTTCACTGTTATACAAGAGAGAACAACCCAGAAGCATGCTAGGATGACCAGCCCGATACCTTGTGTTCTGTAGTCCTATCTCTTGATCCTACATGTTACACCTTAGTCTATGCTTCTCATTCCCTTCTCTGGGACACTAACACCGCTTCGCAGCTAAACAGGCCGTATCAAAAATTATGGGCTCTTCTCTGATATCTGAAAATAATATAAAAAATATTTTGTGATTTTCCTAGTAGAATGACCTTTTTTTGAGGGATTTTGTCCTGTGATTTACAGTCTATTCTTCATATCCAGACAGACTCAAAGGAAGCCATTAAAGAGCAATATGAAAAACAGGTTTACTACAGGTACTTGGTTAGGTGGGTAACTATGTGTCGAAAAATTTGTGAGACAAGACTGCGCCACTTACATATAAAGGAGGAGAGATAAAGGTAGCCTGTTACCTCTCCCCATCAGTTCAGGTCCTTTAAGACAGTCTGCAAAATGAAGGCTTGCTCTTACCCCTAGATGAAGCCTTTTCATAGGCAGAGTCACAAGCCCTGGGAGGATGCTCTCAAGCAACACCAGGCTACAGACAAACACCAGCCCATAGTAAGCAAATTACTCTCATTGCAAACCAAAACTTGAAAACTGTGAGCTTGAAGTTTTTGTCGTGCTGGGGGCAGAAGAGAGAAAGAGTAGAAAGGAAAGCAGCATGAACACTGCTTCTTTTTCACACTACCAAGTGAAAAATTACTGCATTTAAAGCCAACCAATAATAGAAGTGTTACCCTTTCAGTATAAGCAAAACATCTTGAGATTATAAATTGAGGGACAATGGATACACTGAGAGGTAATTGGACTATCACATAGAAACAGCAATGGCAAAGGAAGGATGTGGTCTGTGGTTCTATCATGGTTTAGCCCCAGCCAGGATCAAGCCCCACGCAGCTGGTGGCTCCCATGACACTACCAAGTGAAAAATTACTGCATTTAAAGCCAACCAATAAAAGAATAAGAAGTGTTACCCTTTTGAGTATAAGCAAAACATCTTGAGATTATAAATTGAGGGATAATGGATACACTGAGAGGTAATTGGACTATCACATAGAAACAGCAATGGCAAAGGAAGGATGTGGTCTGTGGTTCTATCATGGTTTAGCCCCAGCCAGGATCAAGCCCCACGCAGCTGGTGGCTCCCTCCCCACCAGCACGACTGGGGAGAGAATCGGAAAAGCACAAGTGAAAAACTCGTGGCTTGAGATAAAGACAGTTTAAGAGGTAAAGCAAAAACTGTGCACACGAGCAAATGATAACAAGGAATTCATTCCCCACTTCCCATGGGCAGTCTGGTGTTCAGTCATTCCCAGGATGGCAGGGCCCCATCCCACATAACAGTTCTCTTCCTTCTTCCTCCCCCCACTTGCCCCTTTCACATACTGAACATGGCACCATGAGATATGGAATATCCCTTGGATCAGTTGTGATCAGCTCTCCCTGCTGTCCCTCCTCCCAAGTTCCCATGCACCACCAGCCTCCTTGCCAGCATGGTGGTATGAGAAGCAGAAATGCCCTTGAATGCTGTGTAAGCACTTTAGCAATAACAAAAACATTTCTGTCTTGTCAACAGTATTTGCAGAACAAGCCCAAAGCACAACCTCTCTGTAGCTACTGTGAAGGAAATTAACTGTACCACAGTCCAAGCCAGAAGAGGTAATCATGAGAGTCATTCCTAGCTGACAATAAACAGGGGGTGGAGTCATGGGTGGGATTGTTTTTGTAGGAGATTGTATCATTGTGGGGACAGGGGGATCCACGATGATACATTCCCCAGGAAGCCTTTACAAAAACCCATGGGTGCATGAGCCTTGAGGCAGAGCGTGGTAAGGCAGCTGCACAGGGTCCTGCAGCAGAGCAAGTGTGCTCTGCCTTGGTTTGTCTTAACAGACCTTGTATCCTGGGACTTACTTTCATCATCTGAGAACTGAGCCTGCCCTCCCTGGCAAGCAAGCTAGGAAATTCTGAGGTATTGAAATTAAATTTTACCAATCCAGACTGTGACTGCAGATGCACCTAAAGCAAATCAACCATGCAAAGCTGGAATTGCTATTGTTTCCAGATTTACTGATGTTTGCAATAGATGACAAAATGGCTCTTTCTTAAAGTGATACAAGTGTTACAAAAAAGAATTCTGACATGTAGCAGGTATCTCTCAGAGGCACTATATAAAATGACTTGGGCTTTTCTCTCTTAAATAATCCTGCAATATCTGTTGACTGCCTCATGCCTGTGAGAACAAAGGTTGCCTGTAATCCCTATCCCCGCTGTCTCAATGCAGTTCTTCCGAATGGCTATGAAGGGTTTGTCTGGGACCAGTCAAGAGATTCTTCTGGGCTCTCCTTGTGTGGATTATTTTAACCAATCAGAAAAATGAACAGGATCCTGAAAGTCTATTCAAGTCAGCTGGCCTGCCATGGAAGGGAAAACAATCGTCTTTGTTTTGGTCTGCTGCCAAAGGTGAACCACCTGCATTTGACTATGAAAACAACAAAGCATGATTCATTCGATTATTAACTTAACAAGTTACAGAAAAGAAGGCGTCACAATGCTTGGAATTTAAGACTCACAGTGAGGAAGTTCTAGGTCTAGAAAAGTTCAGTTCCTAGACATTGACAGACTTTGGTGTGTCTGCTTGTGTTTGAGATCTGAAAAATGAGAATAGCAGATAAAATCAAAGATGCAATATGGACATTGGAGAAAGGTTGCAGAAACAAATTAAGTTGAAGTGTAGACAACATATCAAACAAATTTGGAAAATGCTTTTATGAATTCTACAGAATATACAACTGATTTCAAGTTGGTTTTCTGCCATATCCCTTTAGACAGACATTGAGTGAACTTTAGAATTCCAAATGTAGAAATGTTTTCTTAGGCTTTGCTTATAGTGAGGCAGCTACAGTACATGCCTTCTCTTAGTTTATGATACATTACTTTGTCACTGTGTACACCACTGGGTTCTCTTTTGGCAGTGGCACAAAACTTACAGTTATAGGTAAGAAATTTTTGTTTCCTCTTTTAATTCACTTCAAATGCCATGTCTTCTCTTTATAGAATTTCATTATTATATGCTGTTTCATTATTAAACTGGTATTCCTGGTGTGCTAGTAACCCTGTCTACTTCAGAGAATAGAATAAGTTGGGTCCTCTAGGTAGGGACACACCTTTCATTTTGGAGAATGGAAAGAATGTGTTTTCAGTAAAGAAAAAACTGTCCCTAGGGAGAATGATGATAAGGAGTGGGACAAATAATGTGTGCATGACATAAAAAAAATTGTCCTACTGAATCAACACATGAAAAATTCCCCAAAAACACTATCTATAAGGCTGGTTCAGCTGGGTCTAGAGATGATTAAGGACAAGTCAGTGAAGAGCTGTCTATCTGTCTGGAAAGAACTGACTTACAGTTACACTTTGGTGAGGTCTAGGAAACAAAATCAGGATGATACAAACTCAAAGTACCCTGGATCCTCGCAGAGTGAATTAAAGAATGTGTTGTCTCAGATAACTGGGAAAAACATGTATGCTAGCATTTTTGGTTGATAAAACAGAAGGCAAATATAAATGCTCAACTTTATAATAAGCAATTCTAAAACCTCTCTGCAGCTTTTTAAGCGCTTCTTGTTATAGAAAGTAGCCCTCCACAGCACAGCCAGTTTCTTTCCACTGAACATGCTTACCAGGATGGTGATACAAAGATCATTAAGAACAGCGGTCTTACTATTTCAGAATAGATGCTAAACAGCCACTGATAACCACAGGAGAAGAATATATGATTAATTTCAAGGGGAAGGAACACTCAGAGAATGTTTCTTTCTGAGCCACATTTGTGGATTTGGATTGTCCAAATCTGGGGAGAAGAAGGCTGCTGCTCAGACACTGATAAATGATGGTGATCTCTTCTACTCCTTGTGCTGCTCCTGGAGTTCGAAGATATCTGTACCTTGTTGTGCCACTACAGAATAAATTGTTAATAAGCAGTGAAATTCAGTCTCCATAGGAAAAAAAATGATAAGCATATTTTTTGAAATCCAAAGTTTATCTGAGGTGCCTGAGCTGCTAAAAATGAATATGCTGACCCCTCAGTGACCATAGGCATTTATGCAGCAAACTTGAATAATCATCACCAAGGGAGGACAGAGAATAAAAGCAGAGACTTCCTTTCAAGGAAAGCCTTCCAGAGAAAGGGAAAAGGCAACAGAAAGGGAAAGGTGGCAAGTTTAGGGACTTCTGCAAAGGGCAGAGTGGACCAGGACACTGGAGATATATTAAAAATTATTTTGCACATTAAAAAAAAAAAAGCATTTATTTTATAAGTGAAAAATATTTTAAATGTGGAACAAAATTTAAAGGAAATGTGTCTGTTTAGCTGAGAAAACGAAATTCCTCAGTCTGCATGCGGAAAATATTTTCTAATATTCTAATATGACACCTAGATTAATAGATAAATGTCCTCTAATGAAATGGTGGAACCTCCAACAACTGCTTCACCTACGCCTGAAGTAAAAGGGCTCTGGACAGGACATTCCTGATGTTGATCACAGCTGTTTAGACACACAGACTTGGGATGTTCCATTACTGACTTGTTTTTTTAAGAGACCTGAGTACTTTGTGTTTCTTCTTTTGCTGATACCACACAAGAGGAGGGTTAGTCCACAGGCTTGGCTCAGAGATCTGGGAGTAGAGGAGAGGTTTTTCTGCAGCTGCAAAATGGTGTGAATAATGAGCAGTTGTTCTTTGGCAGTGGGACAAAACTTACGGTGATAGGTAAGTAAGAAGACAGATCTGTGTGATCTATGTGATACTGGTTAGGGGACAAGAATATTCTTAATTAAAAGCTTAATAACGACAATTTTTCATGCCACCATGAGAGCAGGATTAATGCTTTACTGTTTGCTTATTAAATGATGTCCTACTATGAAACTGTGGAATTTGCAGGCAAATATTTTGAGATCTCTTTGTCTGCATTCTTTGTCTTTTATTTCTGGGAAATTCATGACGGGAGAAAGGAACAAATAATTTTGTTTCCTCTCATTCTCCAAGGAAATATTATAGAGGTTGGGAATGAAAATGACCAATATAGAAGACTAGACACATTGAGCTGTTGATCAGGCACTTTTTCCAATTCTGCCTTTTAACAGTCTCCTTATTCCATTTCTAACCACCTCATTTTATTTTTCTTTCCAGTAGTTTAATCATTCTTTCTGTCTCCCTTTTTACCTGCCTCCTTCTATTTTTTTTTAATGTGGCATTATGCTATAGGTTTTAATAATTTCTTTTGTCCTCCTGTCCATTTCCATCCCTTCACTCATCAGCCGTTAAGGCTATAAGCCAAAGAATTTGTCAGAGATACCTCTAAGATAGGAAAAAAAATCATAATTCCAAGTGCTGGAAGGGAGAAGTAGAAGCGATCAACCTCTCTTCATACCCACTAAAAGGAAAGCAGAGCAGTGCTAAACCCTCCAGGCAGTTATCTCTATTGAATATTCAGGACATCTAAAGTCTGTACAAGCTGATACAGAAGCAGCCCAGGGATCCTGGCAGAGTCAGCACTGGTGGTCACAATTAAGGCATCATTGGAATGCAAACACGAGGGCTTAGGAGACAAGATCTCTGCAAGATAATGATTTCTGCTCATTCTGCTACCTCTCTTCCTCTGCAAAGGAGAGAGTGGCCAGGAAGAACGTTCACAATTCATAGTGCCTTCATACAAATGTTGCATGTTCTTAAAAATGGATTGGTTAAGATCCAAGGCAAAACCTGTCCCTGGCAGATTCATGTTACCGCCTCAATTGTTTTTCAATTCAGACAGTGAGAAGGATCAGCTCCTCCCTTGTTTCCTTCCTTCCAGGCCATCTCGTAGATGGGATCTCAAGTAGGGTATCCCATGACAGTATAATTCTAAACTCTGAAGTGACCACCATATCTTAACTCCTTCCCCAGGAATGTAACTCAGTTTGCTGAAGATGTTTGTGCCTTAAAAGAGATGCCCTTATCTATTAATGAAGTGTTACAAATACAGGCCTTACTTACAGCAAAACTGGGAAACCTGTCCCTGGCAGATTCATGTTACCGCCTCAATTGTTTTTCAATTCAGACATTGAGAAGGATCAGCTCCTTCCTTGTTTCCTTCCTTCCGGGTCATCTCGTAGATGGGATCTCAAGTAGGGTATCCCATGACAGTATAATTCTAAACTCTGAAGTGACCACCATATCTTAACTCCTTCCCCAGGAATGTAACTCAGTTTGCTGAAGATGTTTGTGCCTTAAAAGAGATGCCCTTATCTATTAATGAAGTGTTACAAATACAGGCCTTACTTACAGCAAAACTGGGACTTTTCTGCCCATCTCTTTGCTCCATTTCTTTGCAGCTTTGTATTCCACTGACAGAGGCAATACAAGAAATTAATGTGCTTGTGCATTTCTGTGGCCAGACCACTTGTGTTTCTGTGTGATGAGTGAAAAGAAATCCTTCCACTTTCCTGGTGTGTCATAGCCAACGTACACTAATTGTCCTATAGACAGCAGTTAAAAGGCCAGGTATTTCAGGAGTAACATGACACAAACTCAGGACCATTTCCAGGGCATTCTGACAGAACACAGGGATGGAGGCTCTGGACCATGTTGCTTTGTGTTTCAGGGAAGAATGATGAAATCATACCTCCAGCTGTGGCCATCTTTTCCCCATCAAAGCAGGAGATCCAGCAGAAGAGCAAGGCCACGCTGGTGTGCCTGGCCTCTGGTTTCTACCCTGACCACCTGACTCTGGTGTGGAGGGTGAATGGTGTGAAAAGGACCGAAGGGGTGGGCACAGACGAGTCCTCCACACAGAATGGGGGCACCTACTCACTGACCAGCCGACTGAGGATGCCAGCCTGGGAATGGTTCAACCCTCTGAATCGCTTCGAGTGTGTTGCCAATTTTTTTCAGAATGGAACAACAGCATCAGTAAACAAATTTATCCATGGTGATGCTGGTGAGTAAAAAACATCTCTTGCCATGCTGTATAAGATAGAAGTCACAAATCTAAAGAGCAGGTGTTAGGATAGGTAGCACTTCTATATATAGCTTCCATACAAGGCGTTCTTCTGGCACAAATACATTCCTAAATATCTAGGAATTAGTGTATGTCTCTTCCCATTCCTGGGCCTTTGTCCCTGTGTTACCATTCTACATCTCTTGTGTTTCTAAGGCTTCCCACTGAGAAATCTCTGTAGTAGAGTAAATTGCACAGAATCATAAAACACCTAGTTGTAGTAGGAAGAATGAGGCAGTGTTTTATAAACTGAAACTTCTAAAATCTGTATTCTGTTTGCTCTGAAGAGAAACATGACTTTCAGTTCATTTTTGTCTTTCAGGTTGTGCACTCACAGAAGGTACGTGTGGCTTCTCACATAAAGGGAATTTTGCCTCTTCTCTCAGGCGATTATCAGGGTGTATTTTAATGCCAGTTTTACTGACATTAAATACAATGTGGGGGAGATATCTGCTGTAGGAATAGCTTCTTCTTTCTCCTGTAAGTGATTTGTATGTCATATTTAAAGAAAAGAGAAAAAATTTTTGTAGGGCTGTTTGTGCATATTGTATGTAGCTCAGCTTTGGGGTTCAGCTCTCCCATATGATTCCATTTTGAAAATTGAAGAAATCATGGTACCTTCCTGTAGACTGTAATTTACTCTTTATCGCCTCCTCCAGTCCTAGAAACTGACTTCCATTGGCAATATTCTTGCTCAGTAAGGAAATAAATGATCCATACTTATCCAAGTGATTCTGATATCAAGGTTCAGTATATGATATTCTGACCGTTTCTCAGTATCAAATTCAGAACAATTCCCATGAGAAGTCACATTCCACTCCACACTGCTGTCATGTATGGAGGACATCCATATTGCAAATTACATTTCTTTCCTCTTTGTATACATATTTGCACACACTCCTGATTTTCAAGAACTTCTTTAATGCTTCAGTTATGTTGCTAAAGATGTCAAGTGTTGTCATTTGATGAAAGCTCCATTCAAACCGGCACCTTGTAATGATGGTGATGAAAACTGAATACACAAATGGTGTTTGACTTGCAGAGTCGTACTTGCGGTATGGAAATTCCCTGAAGCTCACTTACCTCATCCTCTGTGGCAAAGCCTTGGTCTATGCAGTTTTGGTGAGTGGTCTGGTGTGGACAGCCAAGGTGAGTCAGAGTGGCCCTGGAAGGCTGGGCTCACTCACTGGTCAAGGATCAGTGGATGCAGGTTAAACCTCTTCTCACAGGTGTGGCTGTTCTGCAGGTGCTCTGACAGGCTTTGTGCAGTCCGGCTTGAGAAATCAGAAATGATAGGTTTTCTCTTATTGTTTTTCCAAAACTCAAATAAAATCAATGCTATCTAGCAGAGAAATTCCTTCTAACAATCCTCTTCAAACACATGAAAAAGATGAGAATTAAGGACAAGTTGCTCAGAAAGTAAATGAGGGAAATATCAGATATGTCACACATTTGTGTAACCATTGAGAAGGGGCTTACCCCTGCAGTGAAAATAATAATAAATTTTTTTTAAGTGATGCAGGGGATAAATCTGATCAAACATTTACAGACTTACAGACAACAGTGGGATCAATCTGCAAAAAATGGGATAAATTCAACTAACCACCAGGAAATGCTTTTTTTTAGTAACTTTTCCTGTGGCTGAAGCATACATGCAGTGACAGGAGCAGAAGTCTCAGTACCTGTCTGTTTAAAAGCAGAACAGGGAGATGTATTTGAGAAGTGACCTGGTAGAGTTGAGGGCAAGAATGAGGACAATCTCAGTTGTATTTTTTGGTCCTTTTGCACGGATACAGTGGAAAGCATAGATTTGTCCATTCTATGATCATAGTCATAGAATCAAAGAATCATTTAGGTTAGAAAGAACATTTAAAAATTATCTAGTTCCATCCCCACCCTGAAATGGGCAGGGACATCTCTCACTAGACCCGGTTGCTCAAAGCCCCACGCAACCAGGCCTTAAACACTTCCAGGGGTGGGACATCCACGGCCTCTCTGGGAAACCTGTCCCACTCTCCAGCACCCTCCCCAGAACAAATTTCTTCCTCTAATCTGAAGCTACCCTGAATCAGTTTAAAACCTGGCCTCTTCATCCTATCACTGCAGGCCTTGGTAAAACATCTCTGTTTTGCTTAAAAGTCCCCCACTGCTGTGTATGGGAAGGCCTCAGGCCGGCCTGTCCCGAGGCTTCTCTTCTCCAGTCTCCAGAGGATTTGTTCTCTCAGCCTGTCTGCACACCCTGAGGCCCTGTGACTGGCTTTGGTGGGCCTCCTGTGGGCCTGCTCTGTCATGGCCATGTGTTTCCTGGGCTGGGGCCTCCAGAGCTGGACACAGAAGTGCAGGTGGGATTGGTGGGGGTTCACATGGGCCCGCTCCCTAAGTCTGGCCAGGTGCCTGTGGCTGGCATCCCTTCCCTCACACACGCCGATGGCCACACAGCTTCGTGTCAGCTGTGAACTTGCTGAGGGTGCACTTGCTCCCACTATCAATGACACGCTGATGAAAGTTGAAGAAATGCTTTTGGCCCCAGTACAGACCCTTGAGGGTCACAAAACTGTTTGTGACTGACGGCCACTTGAACATTCCCCATGGATGGTAGTTCTTTGGGCAAGGTCATCCAGCCAATTCCTGTATTTGTTTCTGTTGTTTGGTGGTTGTTGTTGTTTGGTGGTTGTTGTTGTCATTGCTATTTTATTGTTCTTCTTATTTTGTCCCATTTTGTTTTCAATTAGGGAGGTGTCAAGTTATCAAGAGAATAAATGAAGAGCTCTTGTCATCACATCAGCAGGAACATGACAAGATTGTAACCTCCCCATAGCAAAAAAAATGTGGCCTTCTACGAACTTCAGAATATAATGTTTTTCAATCATTTCTTGCATCCTGTTCTTCACTGTTTTGTAATCACTGCTGAGCTTTCTCTGCACTTTCATATCATAATGTATCATATTTTGTTGTAACATAATGTACTTTAAAAGTAGCACCTCCTTAATGCACTGAGGGTAAGAATTCATCTCCTTGATTTAGGAATAAAGGTTTTACTTCTTTTCCCTTGAAAAGCATGAGTAGTTGTTTTTAAATATGGTCTTCTGTAGTAATAATGTCCTCCACACAAAGTTCCGTGAGGAATAGTGCCATAAGCAGCACTCATTAAAGATCATGCACTGACAATCCCTGTAGAAATTACTTATCAGTTATGGGAACAGCAGAGGCTCATCCAGTTCTTACACTGTGTGCCAACAAGCCGAGCAGGGCTGCAGGCTTTGGAGGCCTGCCCTCGCCTGGGGCTGATTTTGAGCCAGAACAGCTCCATGATTCAAAGGTGGCAGAGAAGGAAACAGCACTCCAGCCTGATGAGAAGTGACATCCTCCTGGGAGAGGCATGGGAGCTGCTTTTTCTCTCACATGGTTCTTTTGTGGGATTATCTTGGTGAAGACACCAGAATCCCCATGGTAGTGAAAAAAAAAAAAAAATTGGTGAGTAGATTAAAAATCCCCTGACCCTTAATGTTTTTTCTTTCAAAATGATCAGATGACAGACTTGAGAGGAATCTGTCACACCTCTATTCATGTCATTAAAGAAGAATGCTGCATCTTAGTGCTAGAGGACAGATGGGTATAATACTGTCAAATGCACTTGTTTTTCCTGCTCTGTGTTTGTCACTCTTTTAATCTCCTCAAAACACTTCAGAAGAGAGAAAATATCCTACTGAACCAAGAGATTTATATGGTGTTTGACTACAGAAAATACTTCAGTAGTCTCGTAGCTGCTTCAAACAAAACAGACAATTGTTTCCTGAAAAATACTTTTTACAATAATGCTTCAAGGGATCTTACATTCACAAGATGTGAACTATGACCAGATCCCTTTCCACAGGGGAAGGTCTTTGGAGAAGAAAGAAAAGGAACAGTTCTCAGCAAGTGGGAATTGTGAGAAGGTGGTACAAAGGGGCACATTTCAGGGGGTGTGACAAAGTTAAACAGAGGCATCTTTTGATTCTGATGATGGGTTCTTTTCCCAGGATGCCCCATTATTCATGCTCTGTGAAGTTAGAATGGACTGGAGCACAGCAGAATGGAGTATTAAAAAATAATTCCAGCTCATCCTGAAAGACATTAAGATGAATATAATTTATTAAGGCTTTTGGTGAAAATGGCTGCATTTATCAGGGCTGTCAGAAAAACCCCCAGATCAATCCTGTCCTCACACACACACAGACTTTCAGAGTGGTCATGGCAGAACTTGGTCAAAGTGAACAGAGGACAAATTTGGGCATAGGAATTTTGGAGCAGACAAGCTATGGTGCGAAGGAGAGACCTAACTAAGTGGTTCTATGTAAGAAAAGAATTTGGCAAATGACAGAGCCTTCACTTTGTACTCTGGAATAAGAAGAGTGTTCCCACACTGAATTCATA